GTGCAAACTCATCGCTAAGGTGAATAAAGACACGTTGGGCTTGAGCTACCAGATTGCGTTAAAAAGAGAACGCAGCTTTGATCTGACGCAACTGATATAACCTTCTTTCTTAGAGAGCGTGGTCTCTTGCCTCTTTTTAAAGCATCCTGATAAGAGGTGAAAGGACATAAGTTCAGGTCATGTGCCTCTCTTTACTCTTGATAAATTAAGATTAGTAACATTAAAGATGTCAGGAAGAAAGCTTCCTGGTCTGGACAGGGTGCCGTTCGAAGTCCTTAAGGTTATAGCTGTGGAGAAGTCATATATTTTGTTGGACATGATTAATACATGCATGCACATTGGGCTGTTTAGTAATCGCTGGAAGATCTAAAGACTTGGTTTTTTTGGACAAGAACAAACCACCCCCTCTTGGTCCCGTCGTCATTCTGACCCTTAGGTATGTTGGACAATTATTGAGAGGCTGATAAGAACTCACTTAAAAGGATAAGTCAGCCTCTTGGGCAATCAGTACGAGTTCTAAAAAGGGTGTTCAACGGTCATGGCTGTGGCTGAGTTTCTTTAGTCAGTTAAGTAGGCATGAAAATCCTTTCATAAGACGAAGAGCGCTTCTTGTGCCGTGGTGACTCTCGACGTAAAAAATGCTTTTCATTTGGCTAAATGGTCCTATATGATAAGGGCATTGAAGTGCCAGAATCTATCAGAATACCTAAGAAGGATTCGGGACAGTTACCTCCAGGATTAAGTATCTAATACAACTTAAAAGATGAACCAAGAAAGAGATGTCTGATGTCGGGGGTTGCACAGGGATCTGCACGTAGCCCCAACCTCTGAAATCTGGTACGTGATAAACTTCTACACCTTAAAATGCCTCCGAAGAATAAGCTGATGTGCTTTGCTGATAACTTAGCATTGCACGTCACAGAAAAATCTCCAGAGGAGGCCGAACGTGAACAAAGTGGGTGGTTGCGATAGTGTCAGAGTGGTTACGGGATCATGGCTTTGAATTAGTAATCCAAAAGATGGAAATGGTTGTTCTGAACAGGCAGAGATGGTTTGGGGAGCACTTTAACATGAAAGTTACGAGTGAGGTAGTCTGCGCGAGTTCAGAGGTGTGCTACCTAGGATTGTGGATCGACTCACGGCTCACTTTCTGGAAATACATTAAAAGAGCAGCCCATAAGCTATTAAGGTCTCCGTACTTTTTCATGGTTAATGTTAAAAGACCCACGAAAAGGCAAAAGACGACTTCTTGCATTGGTCTCGAACTTGATTCTGCTATATAGTGCAGAGTTGTGGGCAGGTGGGCTCACAAGAAGGGATATCCGAGAGCGCTTAAGTTTGGTGCAGCCTATCAGATTCCAAAGGATTGTGTGCGCCTATCACACAGTCTTTTGCACTGCTACTATGGTGATCGCATGAAATATTTTCGTTGTGTTGCTTGCGCTGGAGTGGCAAAGAAAGTTCCTGGGTCCAAAGGCAAAAACGGTAGCAACAGGCAAGAGAAAACGTTGATAACGTGGTAACAGAAGTGGAATCAATTTGGTATGGGTAGATAGACGTGCTGGTTAATACCACACCTGCGATCACGGGTACACTGAGAACATGGAGAGGTGTATTACTATCTCACCTACTTGCTATCCTGGCAGGACCAGTTAATGCCTATTATGGCAGTGATAGCATCGCTCAGATGGACTTACTACCCTGCATTAGATCATACCGTCAAACATACGTTTTTTGTGTACAAGAGATGGTACCGTGAGCTCCAGCATCTGGTAGACGGACTTGGCATGGTACCTACTCCTAAAACCATAATCTCTGAGATGCTACGCACAAAAGAGAGGTAGAGGGTGGTAGATGGGTCCGTTGGGTCTGTCATCCAGCGAAAGGAAGAAAAAGAGAGAGCCACCACGCAGAAAGTGGGGGCTCTTAAGAAGGCCATCAAAAGTGATAAGGCCTTTACGGTAGGCCTTGTAGGTAAAGTGTTGTGCAGACTCAAGCTACACTTAGTACATTTAATTATCAGCAAGGGAAAGCATCAACCATTTAGTGGCGCTTGCAAAGATTGCTGACTTCAATGAAGCGCTAGACAACAGGTGCTGGTCGTCACGGCCCCCAAGTCCTTTTTAGGACTCAAGAGGATTGGCACCTCTAGCAACTGTTAACAAGCTTGCTTGCTAATGCTCTGAGATATAATAATCTCTCTTTTGGCTTCACCCTGAAGTATAGCTGACACGGTTTGAGGGTAGAACTAACGCCACGCGAGATGTGGGGTAGGGGAGGGGTTAGTAGGTAATAATGGTGTGGTAAAAAAATCCTCTAAGTCCCATACTAATAGTTTCCTTGTGGTTTGCATCATGGTATTTTCTCTTCCTCCACAAACAAACACTACTATTAGTACATCCCCTTCATAACTTCCCCTCCACGGTATGTGTAACCTTGTCGAAGACCGTACTGCTTGCAGCCTAGGTTGGGTGGGAGGGCTTTCAACTGACGGCATACTACCCTATCGTGTATAAAAGTAAGCGGCAGTTATAACATTTTTTTCGGATGCAGGCATTACGCTCTCACTACACTAACACAGGCACTCTTACAAGTTATTTTGGGCTGCGTGTATAGTGTGGAAGGCCTTGCAGCGGGTGAAGCCAGACGATGAGGCTCCGATGATCCAACAACCATATCTCATATGGCTGCACACATTGTCAACAAAATAGACGTAGTGGGCTGACTAATCTAGGCCTATAACCACTATGGAGGCTACATGGTGGCACTTTGAGTGCATTGTTTACGCCAGCTCATTTTGGTGAATTCTCTGCTCTGGTCGTTAGATTGTATGCCTGCTGCCCATTGCGCTAAGTCACTTGAAGTTTGCCAGCACAAAAATTTACTATATACAATTATTATTCTCACACTTTGTACGCAAAACCAGAGCAGTCTCTACAGGTGGGACCAAGGAAAAGTGGTGACTCTCAGTCAGCTCAGTACATACCTGCTTATCCAATGAGTGCTAATTATTAGACTAGGCTCAACATCTAATGTTTTCAGAATTTTTTTCTTGAAATTTAAACATACGACTGATTTCATATTCGTTTAAGTTCACAAAATTAATTATGTTCTTTCTATTTTTAAGAATTCATGGTTTTGTATTATTTTAAGCTTATTTGGCGTTCTTAGAGGATATGGAACATATAGTCCAACATCAATAGTAACAGAAATAATGATACTAAGAAAATCAAATGTTTTTGACTTTTAACGTTTTTTTCAAGAACAGTGTTTGGTTCTTATAACTTTTTTATGTAACTAAAAGCATAAGCTTTTTGATCAGCTTTACTAATACTATCGTATTTAGAGTAGTTTGCTAGCAAACCCAAATGTCTCACGAACTAGATGAAATTGTAAGAAGTTGTTATATTAGTCCCAATATACTTGTACTCCAAATTTCAGACTTGTTTAGCGTGGAAAATTTTGTGAAACTGCTGTATGAAAATCATACTTATAGGCTGGTCGAGCTTAGGAACGTTACGAATTTTCACTGAAACCATATAAATATAACTGCCATAACTCTTGCGACAGTAAAATAAAAATGACAGATTTGTAGCTAAGATCACGAGCTTTCTCCTTATACTTAAGAAGTTGGGTAATAGCCTGGATTCAATTTTGATATTTAATAAAGATATTGTCTGTTAATTAATTTGCCTCGTGCTCAGCTAGGGAGGTAAGAGACTTTTCACTCATATAGTTATGACGCACAGTATTTGTTACATTTTTTGCTCATGCACACAACGAGAGAGCAAGGCCTCGATGTAATGTATGTATATGAGTATATCAAGTTGCTACTACTGTGAAGAAACCCACTGGCAAATCATCTTAATAAAAGATATTAGAGAAGCATATTATAAATTTTTCTGCAGAAAATTTTTCTTAGAACAAACCGCTCTGAGATACAGTTCATGAATATAATTAATGTTTCGATCTTCTAAGTGAATTATGTTATGTAGGTACTGTTCAGTTTTGAAAATCTTTATTGTATGTGACTTAGCGCCTAGTACAGAGTTGCAGAGAATTATATCACTTCAGTTGATCTGATCTCCCTCAGCTCTTTCTTCCTCGGGTCCTTGATCGTCAGTCGTGTCAGCCCGCGCGCGGCTTGGCAGCTCCGCAGGAGCAGTACGCGCGCAGAACGAAGGAGGGCGCACGTGCCGTCATCTTGTCAGACGTTGATCGTGGGAAACGAGCCGAACAATCCGCCCACATCGCTCCTGGAGCGACATACTAGTCGCCGCCCGCCAAGGCGGGTCGGCCTTCTTGACCATCAGGGGGTGGCGTTGGTGGGCCGGGGTTCGCTACGGGAAGCAGGGCCAGTTTGACAACCGGTCGCACGTACTCGCCAGTCGCTGTCTTCACGGTGACCGCGCGCACCAATCCATTAGGACCAGGCTGGGCAGGAATGATGCGACCTAGTGGCCAACGACCGCTCGATTGGAGGAGGGTGGCGTCCAGTAGGATGACGAAGTCACCGACGGCAAAACTTCGGCAAGCAACGGTCCACTTCGGCCTCTGCTGGAGTGTATTAAGGTACTCTCGGCTCCAGCGTGACCAGAACTGAGCCCGAATAGCTCTCACGAGGTTCCAATGTGAGGGAGCGTCCAAGTTCTCAGTGGGAGGCCTGGGCTGGATGATGGAATCGAGTGGGGCTTCAACAAGGAAGTGGCCTGGCGTAAGTACCTCGAGGTCGGAAGGGTCCCCAGAGAGCGGTGTCAAGGGCCTTCCGTTGAGCAACATCTCAATCCCAACTAGTACGGTGGAGAATTCCTCGTAGGTCAGGTGACGGGAGCCCATTACGCGTCGAAGGTGGCCTTTGACTGACTTGACGGCGGCTTCCCAGAGTCCACCGAAATGTGAAGCTCCAGGGGGGATGAAGTGCCAAGCAATATCTTGCGAAGAGAGAGAGCCGGCAACGAGGTCCCAGTCGATCTCCGCAATTTGTAACGCCTCGTGCAGCTTCAGATCACCGTGTCGAAAGCAAGTGGCATTGTCGCTCCAGAGTTCAGAGGGTCGACCGTGACGACCGGTGAACCGAGCGAGAGGGCCAGGAAGGCGGCTGTGGAGAGATCACCGACGAGCTCGAGGTGTAGGGCCTTTGGCGTCATGCACACGAAGACGGCGATGTAACCCTTCGTAGTGCGTATGCCTCGTCCTTTTGACGCAAGTACCGAAAAAGGCCCGGCGTAGTCGACACCTGTGCAGCCAAAATTGCGGGAAGATGTGACTCGTGAAGCTGGTAAGGGGGCCATCATCTGGGTCACGGAGCGAGCCTGGAGTCGGGAGCATACGTCACACCACCGCAATTGAGCCTTGATTCTGCGTGGGCCACCGCGAATCCATGCACGCTTGGCCGCGTAGGCGCTAGTGACCCTGTATCCGCCGTAAAGAGCTCGAGTATGGGCCCAAGGAAGGACCAGTGAGGCGAGCGATGAGGCTCCGCTAAGGATCGGTGGATGCCGCTCTTCGTAAGTTAGCGAGGAGAAATCCAGCCGCCCACCGACGCGCAGAACGCCGTTGGTGTCGAGGAAAGCCGCAAGAAAAGTCAAAGGGTTCCCTTTTGGCAATCGCTCGCCGTTCTGCAAACGCGCGCGCTCTTCACCAAACGTTTCCGATTGGCTCAAACGGACGCAGGCCAGGAAGGCATCTTGAAGCTCGGCGGGGGTCAGTGGTGAGAGCACCGGCAGGACAGGTGGGCGACGCAACTGGCGCCAGACCCACCGACGAGTGCGCACGAGAACGACGAGGAGAGTGTGAAGCTTGGGATATTGTTCAAGTATGATTGGCTCAGCCAGACGGGTGGCGTAGCAGGCCAACGGCAGGGGTGTCACCTCTTGAAGTGCTTCCTGGGGCCAGGCTGTCGGCGAGCCACGGCGGACCGTCCCACCACAGGAGTTGTTGTCTGAGACCGGACATGTCCGCGCTTCGAGTGGCCACGTCGGCTGGATTGGACTGCGACGGCACATACTACCAGGCGCTCGAGGGTAGCGTGTCCTGTATCTGGACCACGTAGTTGTCGACGAGGGCGTTGTTGGTTGGCTGATCGGAGCGAACCCAGTGCAGCACAATTTGCGAGTTGCACCAGGTGTGACAGCGCTCAATCGGAACTGCTAGTTCTTTGGCCGTCGAGCGCAGAAGCTTAGCAGCCAGCAGGGCGGCGCGGAGCTCCAAGCGAGGAATGGTCATCCGGGCCACGGGCTCGGCCATTGGCTTAAGAGTGCGGATGGGCGCCAGCTTCGTGCGAGCGAGGAGAATGTGGCAGTGGACAGAACCGTCCGTGGCCTGGAGTCTAGAGTACAGGACAGCAGCCATCGCGCGGCGGCTGGCATCGGAAAATACGTGCAGGTGAATGTCCGCTGACGCGACCGTTCCGATCCAACGAGGCAGGGATTGACCGGAGATGGCTTGGAGCTCGGTGGCAAAGGTAGTCCACCTTTGAATTATGGACGACGGAGCAGACTCGTCCCAGTCCAGGTTGGCTCGCCATAAGTCTTGCAGCAGGAGTTTGGCGTTCAGCACGATCAGCGCAAGCCAACCACATGGATCAAACAGGCCCGCAAGCGCTGCGAGCATCGTCCTCTTGGTGGTTTAATGCTGTATGAGGGGAGGTGTTAGCAGAAAGCAATCTGACGGTGGGTCCCAGCTCACACCGAGCTCACTAACGAGACCTTCAGCGCCAAGCTGACAACAAGTGGGCCGCAGGCGCACGTCGTCGGGGAGGTCGTCCAGCAGCTCGGGCACATTGGCTACCCACTTGCGCAGAGGAAACCCGCCGGCTTGCAAAAGTTCGATAAGCTGGTCACAAATATGTCGAGCCGTGGTGATGTCGTCGGCACCAGAGAGTATGTCGTCGACGTAGCGGTCGTTCATCACCACGGGAACTGCCTCGGGCCAACGATGTCCTTCGTCCTCACACAGCTGCTGCACAGTGCGCAAGGAGAGGTACGGTGAGCACGAAGCGCCGTAGGTGACTGTTAACAGCTGGTAGTGCGTGGGCGGTTGGTTTCGAACAGGGCTCCATAAGATACGCTGTAGGTCGACGTTACGCTTGTCAATCCAGATCTGACGAAACATCATGCGGGTGTTGCTGCAGAAGGCGATTCGGTGTCGTCACTAGCGTAGGAGCACGCTGGGGAGCGCAGTCTGCAGCCTAGGGCCCGCAAAGAGAACGTCGTTTAGGCTGTAGCCGCTCGATATCGGTTTCAAGGCGCTGAAAACGACGCGAAGCCTGCGGCCCTTATCGCTGCCCTGCCAGATGCTATGATGTTGGATATAGTGCACTGGTCGGGGCGATGCCAAGCGCAGATCGTCAGGCAGTGGCCTCATGTGGCCCAGAGCGAAATACCCTGGCATAAATTGCACATACTCAGCACCCATCGCTGGGGTCCGCTGGAGGTGACGATGCAACAAGTGAAGGGCGGCCGTGGCACTCGGCTAACTATTGCCGAGCAGCCGCGCACTGTCGCTCTTTAATGGCAGACGAACGACATAGCGGCCATCTGAAGCACGATGGTGATCGAGGAAGATGCGCTCAAACTCAATGTCCTCTGGAGCGCGGCGGCTGACTTACGGTACTTCCTCAAGCTCCCAAAAGCGCTGCAGCAGCGCAGCCAGCTCGCGATGCCAAGACGGTGCTCCGTCCATGTGCAGTGTTGAGCGAACAGTAAAAGCTACCGGCTGCAGGCCAGGAGCACTGCCGATGAGGGTCCAGCCGAAGATCGTGTGCTGACCAATAATGTCGCCCCGCCGGACGGATTCCGCCCTCAATATACGGCTGTAGACGTCGGCACCTAGGAGCAGGTCCACACGACTAGGTGTACCAAATCCGGGGTCGGCCAGAGGCTAAAGATCAAGCCACTGCTCGGCCACGGATGGGTGCAGAAGAGCGGACGGCGATACAAGCCCGAGCTGAGGTAAGCAGAGTGCCGCCAAGGTGATCGGCGGCGCATCTCTGCCTGGGTCGATGTGTTCGCGTATGTGTGTATACGCTTATTGAGAGCGAGAAAGAGAGAGACGAAGGCCTTGTGGCACCGCAACGTGGGGGGGTCTCTCCAAAAAGGGCCCCCCTCCCTTAATTGTCGCCGCATTGTACAGTCTCTCTAGACAAACCGCGAGCGAGTCAGTTGCAATCGAAGAGCGTTAGAACGAGCGTGACTTAAGTACTCGTCTGCTTCGATCAGCATATTTTTGATCTTTTTCGCACTGACCAAGCGACGCACGCTGGCCAAGGAGAGCTTTCCTCTATCTCCGTCATCTAAGCACAGTCCATATTTATAATTGATTTAATTATTAGCGTCATTTTTCCGGTCTTCTTTTCTGATTCGCCTTCATCTTCATATTTGCTGTAAAGAAAAAATACAAGTTGTTTCCTATTATCGAAGAGTTCGTGTTGAGCGTTTTATTTTTCCTACTCTCTACAGGCGTTTGTCAACGATAACGGGTACGTTTCCCCCCCGTGACCTTAATAACGGTCCATCACGACCTAGAGGCTCGAAACGAAACATTGGTAGCAGAGCGTGGTTGCCTGTACGAGAGCAGCGGAACTCGACAAACACGATGAAATCTTCGATAACGGAGCTGTGCAGCTAGCCGGGACAGCAGGGCTTCCTGGTGGCATCGCAACGAGCAGCTTCTGTTGTCTACTCGTCTCATCGGCTTCACTACCAGTCTCTCCGAGAGCCATTCTTCGGCTACGATAAGTAGAGCAAACGGAAAAAGGTCTGTGAGTAGACAATTATCTCAACTTGTTCGGCAAATTTCGTTTTTGAAGGCTTCAAGGCCACATTTCGATCGTACTATATCGAGCGAGTACGCCAATACATCTAGTCGCTTACTAGGAGAGCGTTTATTTACTAGCGCGCTCGCTTATCTCTGTTGTTCGCTGTAGTCGCTTGGCCTCGCAGTGAGCCGCGACTCACAAGCATACTTCTCGAGTCGTTGTTTTGATCACGTTAAACGCTTACGTCTCTAAGCAGCATTGATAAGCTTCACCGATCCCAAACAAAATTGACGACGAAGATAACAAATTTCTACGACAACTCCACCGTCAAGGTCGCCGTAGAAAAACAAACTCTGTCACATTTCGAGACGCGGCTAGGTATTCTCGAGAACTATTGGTCAACTTTCATTTTTCGACACGAGGACTTGGTCGAGTACGAAGAGCAGCTAGCCGACGATAGCTACTTCAAGGACGATGTATACTCGCTAGTTAAGCTGGCGTATAGCGACGCGAAAGCGCGCCTCTTGACGCGAATTTTGGAGCTCAGGGGCCCCGTGCCGTTTCCTGGTCAACTTTCCGCGACTATTATCAACGATTATGCTGCGGAGCAATACGCATCTTTGCCGCCGATTGCTCTGCCCACTTTCTTGGGTAAACAAGAGGAATGGGAGAGCTTAAAGCAGCGCTTTTCTTCGCTTGTCGTCTCAAAGTCCACCGTCCCGCCGATAGCATAATTGCAGCACTTGCTCAATGCTGTGCAGGGCGCGGCTGCGCAACGTCTGAAGGGTATCGAACTCACAGACGCAAACTTCGAGGTCGCATGGACAAAGCTTACTCGCCGCTATGATGATCCACGCATACGTTTGTTTAACGGTATCGAGAGCTTGATTCAGCTTCCAGCTGTTAAAGCTCGCAATGTTGCGGATCTTAACGAAACAATGGATCGTGTGGAGGAATCGATTCGCGCGCTAATACATCTCGGTTGCCCGATCGAGCAAACTAATTATTTTGTTGTTCATTGCGTTATTCGTAAGCTTGACTTAACGTCTCGCGAGGCGTGGGAAGTTTCGCAGGAACGGATGGTTGGCTTTTCTTCATACGCAGATTTAACCACTTTCCTGGAGCACCGAATTCACGCACTCGAGCAGGCTCACGTTGGCCCGCAGTCGAGCGACGCCGGAAAAGCTAACTTGGCATCAAAACAAAGTGGCTATTGTTCTAAACGCGTCGCGGCGAACGCTGCGCAAACGGACGAGTCCGCCGGAACAACAAAGAGCTGCGTAGCTTGCAAAGGCAATCACTACGTAAATAGGTGCCGCGATTTCAAATCCATGCCTGTATCGCAGCGCTGGGATTTATGCAAACGCGAAAGGCTTTGCGTAAATTGCCTGAGAGCGTCGCATTTTGTGGAAAAATGCCCCTCTCCCAACCGTTGTGTGACTTGCGATGTAAAGCACCACTCGAAGTTGCACTTCGAGAGAATAGCAAAGCCGCGCAACGAGGAGGCTTCCTTACGCGCCAACGCCCCTCGCAACGATGACAATCCTTCGTACGAGCCTGCCGGCCCTCCTGTTGCTGCGCACAATGCATTAGTTGGTCGCACAATTCTTCTTGCGACCGCTGAACTAATCGCGATTGGCCCCAATGGCAAGTGGCTGCGCATTCGCGCTCTTGTTGATCTTGGGGCCGAGCGCTCCTTCATTACGCATCACGTGATCTCAGAGCTGGGACTTCCTTGTAGTTCCGTAAATATCAAGGTCGTTGGAGTAGGTGGGAGCGCTTCTTCTACAGCGCACCGCGAAGCTGAACTCAAGGTGGCACCCCGAGGCGAATCCAACTTAACGATCTTGGTCTCGGCATTAGTGTTGCCTAAGCTCTCTTAGCCTCTGCCTTACAAGCATGCGGTTACCTTGGAATTGCCTCTTATCCGAGGGCTCAAGTAACCCGATCCACAGTTCTTCGAGTCTCGACAGATAGACTGCATCCTCGGTGCCGACGTCTATCCGTCGGTCATTAAGATGGGACAAAGCGCGGTCCAGCGGGCGCCCCTTCAGCTCAGAACTCCGCTTTTGGATGGCTGCTCACGGGCCCCCTGGCCAGCGTTGACACAAGCAACACGATGCACGTTCGCGCGTTTCACATTCATACTGATAATCTACTTGCAGTAGAATTACAGAAGTTTTGGGAAATCGAGGAGGTGCCACGCAAATCCTTGCTCACGAGCGACGAGAGCAAATGCGAGGAGTCGTTTTATCAGACTTCCTTTCGCAATGCCGACGGCCATTTTGTGGTTAAGCTGCCTTTCCAAAGCACGCCAAAGTTTTCCGCCTCTCAAGATATCGCCACTGCTTGCTTCATTCGCTCCGAGAAGCGCAGACATCGCGATAGCGATCTCGCTGAGTCTTATGGTAGCTTCATGCAGAACTACATAGACCAGCGTCACATGGAACCCGTGCCATCTGACGAGATCAGCAGGCCATCCTTTTATTTGCCTTATCATGCAGTGAGACGGCCCGAGAATTCAAGTAAGGTGCGCGTAGTCTTCAACGCGTCGCAAAAGGACTCAAACGGCGTCTCGCTCAACGACTTGCTGCTGGCATGTCCCAAGCTTCAAGCGGATATCGCTCAAGTGCTGACGCTGTGGAGATTTTTTAAGTTTGTATTTACAACGGACGTAGTCCGAATGTTTCGACAGATCCTTGTACACCCGGACGACAGGGACTGGCAACGAGTGCTCTGGTGCTCCTCCGCCGCCGAGCCTATCACGGACTATCGGTGCACGACTATCACCTACGGGACGGCCTCTGCGCCTTACTTGGCGCTCAAGGTCATGCAAACTCTCGCCACGGACAGTTCCGAGACTCACTCACATGCCGCTGAGACGCTACGCCGTCGACTCTACGTCGACGACCTATTTGCTGGAGCGGACACGCTGGACCAGGCGCGCGAGCAGCGCGACGAGACGATTCAGCTGCTGTCATCCGCCGGCATGGCGCTAGGCAAATGGGCAAGCAACAACTCCTTCATCCTTGAGGGGCTTGAAGCAATGGCGGCTAAGGCCATTAACCTCAAGCAGGACGACGCTGTATCATTACTGGGCTTGCAGTGGCTGCCCAGCTCGGACTCCTTCACCTTCAAACCAAAGGGGATGCTCGTCGGTCATGAAATCACCAAGCGCGTCGTGCTGTCAGAGATTACGCGACTCTTCGACCCTCTTGGCTGGATAGCTCCGATAATCGTAAGTGCAAAGATTGTTTTACAGGATATTTGGCTCCTCAGCCTCGGGTGGGATGAGCTGCTGCCCGACGACCTCCAGTCACGCTGGACGCGCTTTCGGAGTGAGATGCAACAGATCTCGCTCATCAGCCTCCCGCGGTGGCTGGGTGGCCTCGAGGCCGAGGAATGGCACCTGCATGGATTCGCTGACACCTCAAAGCGAGCTTATGCAGCAGCGATTTATGCGGTGTACCCAAATCGCTCTGCTCAGCTCCTCTTTGCAAAAACAAAGTTGGCACCCACCAAAGTTCAGTCGCTGCCTAGACTCGAACTGTGCGGCGCAGTGCTGGCCGTACGGTTGGCCAAGCACGTGTCGGACGCTTTACCAATCAAGCCGAGTCGCATCCACCTCTGGTCAGACTCACGCGTGGTGCTGGACTGGCTGAAGACTCATCCAGCCCACTGGCCAACATTCGTCGCCAATAGAACGAGCGAAATTCTCTCCGAGTTGCCAGCAGCTACGTGGAGGCAAGTCAAATCCGCCGACAACTCCGCAGATTGCGCCACCCGAGGCCCCGCGCCTTCGGCGTTCGCTTAATTTCCTCTTTGGTGGCATGGACCTGTGTGGCTCACGCAGGAGCAAGAGAAGTGGCCTACTTAAGCTGCAGACGCCACTCCCAACGACCAGCCACAGGTGTTCGCGGCGCAGGAGAAGAGACCCAAGGACGTCTCTGTGCACGCGTGCCTTCCTCGTTTTCAAAAGTTCTCCAGCTTTGACAAGATCGTCTGGATGCTAGCTTACAGCTGGCGTTGGCGCGTTCGCCCCATCTACCAAGAACACCAGCCGATTAATCCCTTTCTTTCAGGCAAAGAGATTCGGCTCACCACTCTTCTCTGTTTTAGAATTATTCAGAGTCATTACTTTGCTAGCGAGCTGGAGAGATTGAAGCGTGACAGCTCTGTCTTCGCTCGCAGCCCTCTCCGTCGGATGTCGCCTTTCATCGACGATAACGTAGTCATTTGAGTCGGCGGCCACCTCGATCATTCAGCGCTTCCGTACAGCGAGAGGCACCCGGTTATCCCGCCAAGCCGTTGCACGATCGTCAGGAGACTCGTCGAAGACACTCACCAGTGGACCCTTCATGGTGTGGTCCAACTGATGCTGTCGCACTTGCGTCGCTCCGTTGGGATTTTACGGGGCCAGCGCCTAGCGGTCGGAGTACTCCACTGCTGTGCTAAGTGCACGCGCCATGCTGCACGGAGCCCTAGCCAACTCATGGGCCAACTGCCGACTGCACGAGTCTCCCCGTCTCGTCTGTTCTCGCACACGGGTGTGGACTTCGCTGGACCCGTCCTGTTTTCAAGAGGACGAGGCGCCAAAACAACCAAAGGCTACATCGCCGTCTTTATTTGCACTGTCACGTGGGCAGTTCACCTCGAGGGAGCCTCTGACCTTTCAACCCATGCTTTTCTTGCAGCCTACTCTCGTGTCACTGCACGCCGTGGAGTTTGCGCTGTGCTGTACTCGGACAACACCACGAACTTCAAAGGCGCAGCTTCCGAGCTTCAGCGCATGCTGGCCAGCTCTTCATTTGCTCCAAACATCTCCGAGAAGCTGGCAGCTCAAGGGACGGACTGGTCCTTCATCCCCCCTCGAGCTCCTTATTTTGGTGGGCTTTGGAAAGCCGCCTTCCGAAGCGCAAAGTATCACCTCAAGCGCGTGATTTGCGAGACCAGGCTCACCTTCGAGGAACTGTCGACGTTGTGCGCCAAAATTAAGGCCTGCCTTAACTCAAGGCCCCTGTGCGCCTTGAGCAATGAAGTTACGGGCGAGCTCGCCCTCACTCCGGCACATTTCCTGGTTGGCTCTGCGCTGCTCTCTCACCCTGAGCCATATGACGAAGCGCAGAGGCCAATGTCACCTTCCAACCGCTGGAAGCTACTTGTCAACCTTCGTAACTCATTTTGGTCCAGCTGGAGAAAGGAAGTCCTGCATCAGCATCTCAAGCGATGCAAGTGGCAGACTCCTCGAACGAATTTACAAGAAGGAGACGTCATTCTCGTGCGTGATGGACTCGCGCCCCCAGCCACCTGTCCCTTGGGTGTGGTAATTGCCACGCACGCCAGGGCGGATAACCTTGTGCGCGTAGCCACGGTGAAGACGGCTGCCTCGACGCTTTCGCGACCGATTGTGAAGCTTGTTAAACTGTTAACTCAACACGAGCTCGAGAAGTGCTATTCCGAGCAATCAAAATAAACTCAGGGCTAATCAGTAGTTTATTTACTTACTAACCCATTAATTAATTTGAGTTTATGTTTTTTTTTTTTTTTCAATTGCAAAATTTGTAAATCCTTCATGTTCATGTCAGCTCGTGGCCAGGGTAAGCTACTAACACTATTGTATAGCTGCGCTGGCTGTCGCCGTAGCAGTAGGTTAAGCTCTATCCGCTGACAGGCTTTTGTTCTATCTTACTTTTTTCAATTTATTTTGACGCTGTTGCCTCAAGGTGGGCGGTATGTTCGCGTACGTGTGTATACGCTTATTGAGAGCAAGAAAGAGAGAGACGAAGGCCTCGTGGCACCGCAACGCAGGGGGGTCTCTCCAAAAAGGGCCCCCCTCCCTTAATTGTCGCCGCATTGTACAGTCTCTCTAGACAAACCGCGAGCGAGTCAGTTGCAATCGAAGAGCGTTAGAACGAGCGTGACTTAAGTACTCGTCTGCTTCGATCAGCATATTTTTGATCTTTTTCGCACTGACCAAGCGACGCACGCTGGCCAAGGAGAGCTTTCCTCTATCTCCGTCATCTAAGCACAGTCCATATTTATAATTGATTTAATTATTAGCGTCATTTTTCCGGTCTTCTTTTCTGATTCGCCTTCATCTTCATATTTGCTGTAAAGAAAAAATACAAGTTGTTTCCTATTATCGAAGAGTTCGTGTTGAGCGTTTTATTTTTCCTACTCTCTACAGGCGTTTGTCAACGATAACGGGTACGTTTCCCCCCCGTGACCTTAATAACGGTCCATCACGACCTAGAGGCTCGAAACGAAACACGATGTGCAGATGGGCCTGAATTCTCGAGCGGGCGACCGACTCACCTCCTACTCCAGAAATGCTCGCATTGGTGTGCTCCAGCGTGGCGTTGAGCCGTCGCGCCAGGTTCGCAGAGACGATCGTGACCTCGGAGTACGCATCGAGGAGGGCTCGGACTGTCGCGCGCCTGCCGGATGGCCTACTCAGCTGAACGAGAGCGGTTGGTAGCACGGCGAGTCAGAAAGAAGGCGACGGGCCCAGGTCGTTGGCACGGGTTGCACCGACGGGGTCGGCCCTCGGCCGTTTTGGTGATGGCAGACTGTCAGATGGGTCCGATGGCCGTCGACGGCTGCTGTCGTTAAGCAGGCTGTAGTGCTGTTCTCGGCAGTGCTGACAAACAGATCGGGAGGGGCAGAACTTCAACAGGTGGCCTGTTCGAAGGCAATCAAAACATAGTCGGGCTTGGTAGACCACGTCTCGCCGAGCGTGCACGTCGAGGCCTTGAAATCGAGCGCAGTGCCCCAGGTAATGGGTTTCGCTGCAGGACGGGCACGGAGGTAGAGCTGCGCTGGTTGCGAGGAAGCGATAATGCCGCCTAGAAGATAATGAAGCTGGTGGACGGATGCTGGGCGTGCTCGCTGGCCGCGCTGGGCGAGATGCCTCAATAGAGCTGAGAGCGCGGCACTGTCGGTGAAGGAAGTTCGTCATGGCGGCGAAAGTGACAGTCTCAATTCGAGCCCTTGCGTCTGCGCCCTCGAGCCGCTCGAGCTCGTCCTCCCAGGCTTGCCGGGTAGTTGGGTCCATGCCGGTCATGGCACAAGAGATCAGCCAGTCATCTTACTGAAGGACAGGACGGCCCAAAGCTTGAAACTGGTCCCGGTGGTGACCCAGCGTAACAAGTAGGCTCCGCAGACCTCTGGCCGACTCGTCCCTTAAAGGCCTGATGTTACGTAGCGCTGTTAGATAGTCGTGTACTAGGAGACAGCGGTGTTCAAACCGTGCCTCGAGCGCGGCCCAAGTGGTCAAGTAGTTGGCACCCACGATCTGGATCGCGTCGAGGGCTGTTTTGGCATCTCCCTCCACGAGAGACTTTAAGTAAAACAGTCGCTCGACATCGGTGAGCTGTTGATAGTCATGCACTAGCGCTCGAAAGAGATCCCGGAAGCTCTCCCAGTCTTCTCTTTTCCCGGAGAAGGCGGGAATACTAATACGGGGCAGGCGGGATCCACAACTCGATGTAGCGAGCCCGGGGCCCGCTCCACTGTTGCCAGGGGGTGGTGCGAGGGTGCTCCTCGCGTTGTAGAGGTGGGCGCGTGACTCTATGTACTCAGCCTCCGATGTCGAGTACATTTGGGTTAGTGACTCCTGCTTTTCGGGAGGAGGCGTCTCGATGAGCCTCAGATGATTCGCCTGAAAGTCGCTCCAGTAGCCATCCAGCAACTTAAGCCTCACTTCGACGAGGCCGGTGGTCCAGGCCGAGGGCTCAGTATGCGTGACGGCCAGCGTGAAACTAGCGATGACGTCTGCCAGAGCGCATTGGGCGCCAAATAGGTTAGCCCAGCCTTTGTCAAACCTGAAAGAGCAATCATGAGCTTGACGGTTGCACGAAGCTGCTATTGCCGTCGGGCCGAGCCTGGTTTTGTCACTTCTACAAATTAACACGTATGTGTGCGGTTATACGAAAAGGAGAAGAAGAGAGAACGAGAAAGAGAGAGACTCACACCTTATGTACACACACACGCACCCACATGTCCATGCGGGCGCGTAGACGCTTTCGTGCATCACGCATTGAAAAAGATAGGTTAAATGCTAACCTTGATAAACCGACCGTATTGCGTTTGCTCTACTCATGACAAGGTACAGGTACACCCGTAAGGAAGGCAATGTGGCTGCCGCTACCGACGAAACAACCACTACCAGCGACACGGCTTCATGTCTGCCGTGGCCGTATGTATGACAAGCGCTGGACCACGGGCTATGCGGTGGCCGTGGCAGCCTTGTATTCAACTTGTGACGCGGATGCTCGTGAGGCACGCGTTAATGGCGGCACGATCTTGTCGTGGCCATGATCAGGCAACGCAAGCCGGACCGTGGGCACGATGGCGGCCGCGATGGCTTAATACAACCAACACTTTGACATAAGTAATAGTATACTCACATTATGTTGTGTGCTGAATGCTCTCCTTAGTTGCTGTTTGTTTCTTACTCGCTCAGAATCCGGCTTGAAGGACCAATGTTCAGTTTTAAAAATCTTTATTGTATTTGACTTAGCGCCTAGTACAGAGTTGCTGACAATTATATCACTTTAGTCGATCTGATCGCCCTCAGTTCTTTCTTCCTCGGGTCCTTGATCGTCAGTCGTGTCAGCCCGCGCGTGGCTCGGCAGCTCCGCAGGAGCAATATGCGCGCAGAACGAAGGAGGGCGCGCGTGCCGTCATCTTGTCGGACGTTGATCACGGGAAACGAGCCGAACAGGTACTTCCTTTCATATTGGCTTCAAAATTTAGATGCTTATAAAAACTATTTACGACTACTAACTAGGAGCCTTAGTTCGTTTAGATATAAGTGCTTGTTTTGAATTTTTAGTGTTCTTCATGGTACGTTATCTGATCATATCGTTAGAGCTTTATATTTTTTTGTGGTTTCTTATATAATTATATATCAAATGTCTTTATGTATTGGGACAACCTAAAAAATGCTGGAAATTATCCTGAGTTCTTATTTAAACTAATTTACATTGCAAAAAATTTTTGGTAGATTATAAAAAAATGTTACTCATTACTCATGGACAGTGTTAGTGTTGCATTTTAGATAACTGATAAAAATAATTTGTATAACTACCCCACTACACTCAAACAAATGCGAGTCCTTTTTTGTAACGCTAAAAAAATATGGTAACTTTATAAAATT